TTTTGTCTTTATGAGGTCAAGGGTTCAAGTCTCCCTCCCCCTCTCTCTCTCTCCCCCTTCTCCCAAAAAAATAAAAAATAATATTTGTTGGGTGCGATAAAAAATAAAATGATGAAAAGTTTGAGAGATAAATAAAACATCATGTTTAATAAAGAAAGAAAAAAATAGAAAGAATAAAAAAGTGGCTGGATGAACTTTTTTTTTAACTCACCAAAATCAATCCATCCAAAATTAGGATAAAAAATTAATTATGTATGTTAAAATGTATGTTATTTACTTCTATATCATTTAATATATATAGATATATCTTTCTATTTTTTCATCCTACCAAACATAAAAAAAATTAACCCTTCTTACTTTTCGTCCCTTCTACCAAAAACAAAGGAGAGAAGAAAATAAAGTGCAGGAAAGATGATCTAACTCCATATTGGATAGAAGTTTTATTAATGTTCATTCATGTGACCACAGGTTCATTGAGCCCACTATCTTGGTGGATCCTCCTCCCACGTCTGCAATTATGACAGAAGAAATATTTGGGCCATTGCTTCCAGTAATTACAGTAAGCAGTACTCCATTTATCATACTAAAATAAAAGCCTATATAAATATTTCCAGACACATTCGTACGTAATTGAAGAAACAAAAATATATGGCATTTTCCTCCCCCTTTTCTGGCAGTTGTCGAAAATTGAAGATAGTATTCAATTTATCAAGTCAAGGCCTAAGGCTCTCACTATTTATGCCTTCACCAACAATGAAACATTCAAGAAAAGGGTGATATCTGAGACATCTTCAGGAAGTGTGACATTTAATGACGCTGTAATCCAGGTATTTCATCAGTGACTTAATTGCTGCTTTCTTGAAAATAGTTTTTTATTTCTTTTCTGATCTTGTCTGCCTGCTATGCTATGAGTGCAGTATGCAGCAGATACTATCCCATTTGGAGGAACTGGTGAAAGTGGATTTGGCAAGTACCATGGAAAATTCTCTTTTGATAACTTCACCCATGAAAAGGCAGTTCTAAGTAGAAGCTTCCTAACAGACTTTTGGTTCAGATACCCTCCATGGAATGACCACAAGTTGCAGCTCTTTAAGTCAATTTACAGATTTGATTATCTTGGCATTCTTCTCACCATGTTGGGCTTCAACAAATCTTAACCATCATTACTTATATAATTAATATGTGCACCTCCTTCAAATAGATGGTGTCTCAGACGGGAATCAACAGACCTACAATAAGCAAATGATGATTCTACTGAACAAATATGCGCTAGGATATATGAGACTAAAATCCCTCCTCGATGTTTATTTAATTTGTGCTGCATGTGGTTGGTTAAGTATCTCACTTATGAATCATGAATTTGCATATGAAATTTGTATATATTGTTTACCAAAGGACTATGTATTAAATACTTGTATGTGCATATTGCGTGATATTGTAAATTGATGATCAAGTGCCTCTTTTCAACATAGAATGGCTCGGCTAAGGGGACCATCAACCACTAGAGATCCAATAAAATTAGTGAAAATTTAATCCACACCCCAATAGAATATCTTATCTTTAAGCACTCTCTACAATATCAAAAATTTCACTTACACCCCCCCCCCTGTAAGAGTTTGTCTGCAGATGAAAGTGAGAGAATTTGTTATTTTATTATATTAATCCTGACAATCTCACATATTATCCACTTATTATATATGATACACATTTACCCACGTAATAAATAATACATATATACAATAAATATAAATATTACAATATACAATTTTTTAGTATATAATATATTATTATACACTTACCGTATAATAAAAATATATTATATAATCTATATATCTATATTTGTCTATCTATATATATAAAACAAATAAATTAAAAGGGAGAATGCTTAATTATCATACTAAGTCTTGCCCCAATCACATTACCATATGTCTTTTGTAACCACCCGTCAACTCCCCCATTAACTATCCACTATTCTTTTCACATTTATTTGCATAAAATTATTTTTATTATTCAATAATTTAGTTTAACTCTTTTTTTTACCCTCTTAAGTAACAAGGTGAAAGAGAAAAAAATAAATAAAAAATGAAAGAATATATGGAGCCATAACGCATATACATATAACAATTTAGAGATTATTGGGCATGCAAAGTCTTCCCTCCCTGTTTTTGAAATTCTTAGAATTTAATTTTCTTTTAATTCAAAACCTAAGGCTTCATTCAATTAGACGATAACATGTGTCAGTTGTAAACACCCTCAACTCCGCAATAGCCAACTACTATCCTTTCAAATTTGATTCAACTAAATTATTTTTTTATCATCGGAAAAATTTCTATAACTATTTATCTAACTTCTCAAGTGATAACAAGAAAGAAACAAATAAAAAATAAATAAAAAAGACACGAATTATAATTCCATGCATAGAATGGGATAGACATATAGTATATCTATAAAACAAACAAATTAGGAGAGAGAAAACTTGAAAAGTCTTTCCTCCACATTTTCTAATTTTCTAAAGTTTTAATTTTTTGGAATTACCATACTAAGGCTTATTCCAATTGCACTCTACCATATGTCTTTTGTAATCTCCTTTGAACACCTCACAAACTACCTATTATTTTATAAAATTTTTTGTATAAATTATTTTTTATTGAAGAATTTAGTATTATTTTGTATCTATCTCCTTAAGCAAAATCTAAAAAATGGCAAAAAAAATACATGTGCATCGCAGGACACTAGTACATAATATATTAATGTACTAGAGATAACCCGTGTTTGAAGATACTATGTAATTCAAAAAAAAATCAAGCATTGAATTTGAGCACAAAATAATCAAGTACTGAACTCTAATGCATACTAAGTTAAAAGCCTAAACTATCTTCATAACCTGTACTTGAAGGCCTTGTGCAATGCAAAAAAAATGAACATTGTTCTTGAACATGAAACAATCAAATAATGAATATAGGCACACATTAAGCTGAAAGTCTAAACTGAATTTTTAATGTCATGACTTTCGTGAAATAAAGTAAATCAAAATGCTTTCATTTCCATCTGGATCTGGCTTTCTCCTCGATGGATGAGGATCCTAAGGGTCATCCGCCTCGATCGATAGAGGAGGACGATCACCTTCAATGTAGTACCAAGAAAATCAAAAGAATGCCATTAGACCTCATCTGAAGATGTAATGTTAGTGGACCCAGCAACCATAAGAATTGTGGAAGAGGAGAAAGATATGATTGAAAATCTTGAGACTACTTCTGATCCTAAGCCAAGAAATTATATGGCTGGCTTGTTGGAAGATAGAAATACTTTGTATTTTGATGAAGCTGTGTATGGTGAACTCTCTGATGACGAAGACGCCGAAGTGCCTAAAAAGGATCAAACAAGGGAGGTTGAGGTTGGTCATTTGGGGGTCATCAAACAAGGTTTAATCGACACCTCTGATGAGTCCTGCACATGTATAAGACTACCCTAGAGAACTCTACTTTGCATCTGAAATAGCTAGAAAGATGGGTTGCTAGTAAAACTTCTTGGAAAAAACATTGGATACAAAATATTGTTTATGAAGGTTAAGNAGATAGAAAGATGGGTTGCTAGTAAAACTTCTTGGAAAAAACATTGGATACAAAATATTGTTTATGAAGGTTAGGAATATTTGGGCCCTCCAGAATGATTTTGAAGCAATTGATTTGGATAATGGTTTCTTCTTGTTTAAATTCTAATCTAAGAAAGACTGCTTCAAAGTCTCAACTAAAGGTCCATAGATTATTATGAATCACTACCTAACGGTCAGAAAGTGAGAACCTGATTTTATTCCTTTTAGGGCTTTTGAGATTACCATCGGAATCTGGGTAAGGCTTTCAGAACTCCCGATTGAGTACTATGATGAAAAAACCTTGTTCCATATTCCAAAAGCACTAAGTAAGCCAATCAAGGTGAGCATTAAAACAGCAGCTACTGAGAGAGGAAAATTTGCTAGAGTGTGTGTGGAGAGAGATCTCATAGCAAACCTCTAAATTCGCAGTACAAGTTGGGTTCAAGAATTTTCAGAGTTGAATATGAGTGTTTGCACACCGTTTGCTTTGGATGTGGGAGGATATGACATATGGAAGCCTACTGTCCTCATAGTATAGGTAAAATTCCTCCAATGGTTACCAGAAACCTTAGCCCGATTAGAGAGGAGAACCAAAGGACGAGAAACGTTACAGATGATAACTCTCAACAGTCACAAGTAAACTCAGATCCNCTTCTAGTTTTGAGACTTAGACCATTCCTTGATAAGCTTATCAATCCTAATCAGTGTAGTTTTATCCAAGGCAGACAAACAATTGATAATGTTATAATAACACATGAGATTATCCACTCTCTAAAGAGGAAAAAATGAAAGACTGTAGGAATGGTTATTAAAATTGATCTTGAAAAAACCTATGATAGAATTAACTGGAATTTTCTTTATAAAACATTGATTGATTTTAAATTCCCACAGTCTTGGATTGATATCATCATGAGTTGTGTTATAGGGTCAACCCTTTTCATTCTTTGGAATGGCTCCCCCTTGGAGCCTATCAAGTCTAGGAGAGGTTTGCGTCAAGGGGATCCCCTATCCCCCTTTTTTTTTTTTTTGTGTATGGAACGACTAGGACAATTAATTTTTGAAAAAGTCCAAGGAAGGAAATGGAGAGGTTTAAAAACTTCCAAAAAAGGTCCACTTATCACCCACTTAATTTTTGTTGATGATATTATATTGTTTTCTAGAGCTACTGAAAGAGATCGTCTTATGATCAGAGATGTGCTTGAAGACTTATGTTCGATGTCTAGGTAGAAAATTAGCCTGAATAAGTCTAAGATTTTCTTCTCTCTCAACATAAGTAAAAGCCATGCACTGTTTCTTAGCAATAAATGTGGGGTCACCCCCACAGATGATCTTGGAAAATACTTAAGTATTCCAATTTTGCATAATAGATCTTCCAATGATCAATTCAAATTCATCATTGAGAAGATCCAGAATAGACTTAATGGGTGGAAGGCCAAAACACTCTCCTTGGCAGGTAAAACAACTCTTGTTAAAAATATTACTTCCACTATCTCTAATCATGTAATGCAGACTAATTGACTCCCTCAAGCAACTTGTAACCAGATTGACAGACTTAATAGAAATTTTATGTGGGGAGATACACCAAGGAAGAAAAAGACTCACATAGTAAATTGGAATAGGGTGTGCTCTCCGAAGAAGGAAGGGGGGTTGGGCTTAAGAAAGAGTAAGGATAATAATCTAGCCCTGCTCTCAAAACTAGGCTGGAAAATGAAGAATAAAGATAAAGCCCTCTGGGCTGAAGTGATCAGCAATAAATACGTTGATCAGGAACATAGTAATTGGAAGATCAAACCTGCTAGTTCGCCAACTTGGAGAGCAATAGGAAAGACTAAAAACTTAGTGGACCTAGGTTCAAAATGGTTGATTGGTGATGGTAAACATATTAACTTTTGGATGGATTGGTGGCGGGGAGATGGCCCTCTAGTGCAATAGGTTACTCATACAACTCATTTGAATCTCAACAAAAAGGTAGCAAACTTCATTGATGATAGAGGTAATTGGAATCTCCAGAGGTAAGTATTCTTCCTCACTCCAATTTGCATGATATTTTACACATTTTTTGCCCTTTATCTACAGATTTTCAGGATACCATTTGTTGGGGTCTTTCCTGCAATGGGAAGTTCTCAACAAAGGCAGCATTTGAATTGCTCACTAGGTCCAATCCACGTAACTTTCCTTCTCTTGAATGGATTTGGATTTGGAAAATGAATCTTCCCCAGAAATTGAAACAGTTCTTGTGGCTTATTCAACATGATAGAATCCACACTAATAATCTTAGAGTGTCAAGGAATATGGTAACTGAGGCTACCTACTCTAGATGTAAATACTCCAAGGAAACCTCTTTGCATGCTATTTTTTCCTGTCCTAAAGCTCAAAGAGTTTGGAAATTATTCAATTTGTCAAAAGGGGAGGATATTGCTCAGCTGCAAGGGTTACAAGATGGGATTAAGCTGAATTTTATAATCAGAATGATTACAAATTGGAAAGGAATTAATTGACCTGTTGTGTGTGTTTGTATTGCATGGTGTATATGGAAAGATAGGAATAGGGAAAGCATTTCAAATA